TTGCGCACGGCAAGGAGTAAAGAGGTGAGCTTGGCGACTGCTCCAAAAAACACATCAATAGTATAGCCGGCGAACGACTAGCTGCTTGGCTCGAAGCAGTACCTAATTAACCGAGTCGGAAGATCTCAACTCTCGACTTCCCCTACCTGGATTGACTTATCCCCGTTAGTAGTCGGGTTTGTTTTATGACTGTGACTTCAGTCAATCACTGGAATGCATCGTTGTCATGTGCTAGAAGCATGGTGCCAACTTATGCCTGTAAGATATTGTCGAAGATATGACGGTCTGAGGCACGCATCGTCGAGCATCCTGAGAGATACGAATGAGACCTTCTTGGGAGAAATACCAATAGCCTAGTCTACGCCTTCTGGCTGAATCACTGTGTAGAGATATTTCAGACTCTGCTCGTAATAATATAACGATCGACTCAAATAACTGTCATAAGCGGGACATTATAAAGTTCTCTGAAGAGTTTAAATGGCCAAGAATGAGGAACCAAAATGTCAGCTTAAAATTAGCTCTCAGTTATGGAGAGATTGTACCACAGATACCCCTGTTCCAGCATCTGCTTATTACTTCATGAGCTATATGGAATTAGGTTGTCTAGCCTGGGCCCCGAAACAATGTAGAGACATTAAAGTTAGGTAAACCTGTGTCTCAGCTATAGAGACCGAACCCGGGGAAATATCTTCCGGCAGCAAATATTTATATCTTCATCAATGATTTACTTTCGAGCCAAGCACACAAGTATCATACTAACTACCTGCACCCGTGATATACTAGGTATTTATAAGGGACCTCCTGTTCGATAGATAGACCTGAAATTCACCATCCAATTTCCTCCTCATAATCACTAGATATCATAACCCGATCTATATTTCTGGAAAATTCAGATACTTCATAGCATACATTATCATCGGCCGTAGTAACATTACCGCGGTAACAACAATTATTACTAGTAGTTATGACTCGGTACCATAGCTACTGTTGCCTCAGGCAGATAATATATATATATATATATATATGGCATCTGAATGATGGTACTAGTAGTACTATTTGTACCTTCAATTTTTTATTTCTGGGTTATTTACTCACTTCTCTCTTTCTATATTATTGCTATTACGCTTATGCCCCCTCTTTCTAATTATCACTTTTCTTGTCCCACAGAACTCTCCTAATTCACCCAAGCCGTCGATTGGAAGCATGACGGGGATATTCTTCCTATGCTCTCGCTACTTCGAGTGACACGACTAGTGAGTTTGGAAAACTGCCTAATACCTAGTATTCTATCATGTTAAGGCAGTTTTGCTTTGCTATAGCTCTCACTGATCGAGGAGAACGATCATAATCAGATAAGAAGTGGATAAAAGTTAAATCACGTGAAAAATGACATTATTAGTCTATGAAAGCCGTAATCTATCGTCTATACAACCGCGCAAGCTCAATACTGTACAGTAAACATCCACATATAAACATTACGTATGGGGTATGATACAATATTCTCAGACAGCAGCGCATGCCTGCTCAGTCTTGCACATGCGACCCGACTCAGCCACAGACCAGTACTCGCTACCGGCACCCTTGGTGACGTAGAAGACGTGGTCGGGGTCGTACTTCTCCTTGACCTCGCAGAGCTGGGCGTAGTTGGCGCCGAAGAATTCCTTCTGCCAGTTCTGCTGACGGAAGCTGCCTTCGTTCTCGTAGGAGCCAGAGCCAGGGGTCACGGCCTCGAACTGGGGAATGTAGTCGTTGGCAATGCGCAGCTGGTCGGCGACCATCTCGGACCAAGGGGCAGTCTCGTTCCAGGTGGAACCGAACTGCATGGTCACGGCGGCGTTACGCCAGGGCTGGAAGACGGCGTTGGCGGTGTCGTTGGAGTTGGTGACGTTCAAACCGACACCGACAGCGATGAGACCGTCATTGGTGATGTTGCGGAGGACGGAGACGAGGTCGGCGGTGTTGGAGGTGAGGGTGTCGCGGGGGAGGAGGCGGCCGCCGTAGTTGTACTGGCCGACCTCGAGGTTGCCGTAGGGGAGGGGTCCCATGTACTTCTCGTAGTGCTCGTAGTAAGAGGAGTACTGGGTGTAGGCGACGGTGTACGCGATGCCCAGGTCGGTCAGGGCGGAGAGGAAGGGAGACAGGATGGTCTTGACCTCAGCGGTGGTCTTGTTGTAAGCGGTCAAGGGGTTGATGAGGAAGATCTCGTTGGTCATCTCATAGATAACGGTGGTGCCAGCATCGACCATGGCGGGCAGCAGGGTGTGGAAGTGCTCCACGGCCTCGAAGAAGAGATCGGAGGTGATGTTGGCAACGGTGAACTCAAGGGCAGCACCGGAGACGGTGGCATCCGGGTGGGCCTTGACGGTGAGAGAGGTGACAACACCGAAGTTACCGGCACCACCACCACTGAGGGCCCAGTACAGGTCGGTGTTGTTGGTCCGGGAGGCCGTGATGACCTCGCCCGAAGCAGTGACAACCTCGAAGGACAGGGTCTGGTCAGCACCCAGACCGAAGGCAGTGCTCAGAGCGGAGTGACCGCCACCCATGGTGTATCCACCAGCGAGACCAACAGTAGGGCATTCGCCGCCGACGACAACAAGTCCCTTTCCGTGGGTAGCATCGAGCACATTGTAGCCCGTGACACCACTGCCCAGCTTGACAGCAGAACCCTCGTAGGTGGAGTCCGACCACTCGGTGATCTCGACGTCGTTCAGGTAGTGAGTCCAGATGGCCAGGGCACCAGCACCAGTGGAACGGCCAAGGTAACTATGAGATGGATTAGCACACCATCCTACATGATATAGAGGAATAGTGCAGAACTTACTCATGACCGGTGTTCCTGATCACGAGACGGATGTTGTTCTCCTTAGCGAAGTTGACCGCAGCAACAACATCATCAGTCGTGGAGACGTTGACAGCGTAGCTCACGTAGTTGCCAAGCAGGCAGGGCCGGGACTCAGGCTGGAAAGGATCGCAGCTCTGGTTGGCAAAGTAGGGCTGCATAACAGAAGAAGAAGAGACCAAGCTGAGATTGTCTGACGTCAGCATGGTTAAAGTTTAGGGAGTGGAGGAGGGGGTGCCTTACTGAGTCTGCGGGTAGTACCAGTTGTCCTGCAGGTTCGTGCACTCGGCGCCATTGTAGTTAGGGTCATGGCAAGGAGTACCAATGGGAACAGTCGCAACCAAGCGACCGCCCACAGTGCTATTGAGGGAGTCCCAGCTGGAGGTCGAAGGCCAGCAGCTATCGCCGGGCAGGCAGTGGCAGTCGCTAGAAGCGACAGCCTTGGAGGCGAGAGCAGCGACGGTTGCCGCAAAGGACCAGGAAGCCTTCATCCTGCAAAGATAATGAAGGAAGGAGAGGGTGGAAGAAAGGAAGTGACTGGATTGAGTGAGTAAAGTGACGATCCCTGCTGAGGGAAACGTACTTTATATGCAAATCGATACAGGCAGCCGTATCTCAAGATCAGGAGGAGGCTATTCAGCTATCATCGGACATGTTCCCCAAGTGCGTAAAGTCGCGGAGCAAGCAGTGGATAATTCTACCACCGCGGATTAGCCGGGCGCTGGGTAGTGGAAGAGATACTACGGAGTAGAGCGATGGCCAGGAACTGGCCGAGCCGCCGAGGCAAGAGGTGTGGATGAATTTGGGATGGATTTAGTGAGTTATCTGGCTGACACAGGGGCCGGAATCATCGTCCAGGCACACACACGATCGGAGAACGGCTTCCAGTTGGGCGATGGGACAGTGGCACTTGCTCCAGGTAATTTCGGGCCCCGCTCGCTAGATTGCCTATGAGGCGTAGTATTGGATCAGAATGGCACCATGCAACTCCAGAGGGCAGGATTTAGGCTTTCGGCGAGCACTGGAACCGGATGGAGTGGAGCTGTGCTAACCGTTTTATTGGCAGCTGGCCGATGGTGCGTCTAAAATTGAGTACCGCGGATGTTCCGGGGATTTGTCTTTGCCCTCGTCCACGAACAGACGGTGCCGAATCCTTCACACGCTGCTGACTGACTCCTTCGGCTTGCTTCGGTGCCTGCTAGCGATTCCTCCGTGGTCTGAGATAGAAAGAACTTGTCGCTAATATTTCTGGGCTGTTCAGTTGCTCCTATTTTTGTTTTCATTCAAATCTCCCTTCCCTCCCCCTTGCCGGTGTACGTAACTTTTCTTTGCGACCAAGACCAAGAACGCCAAAGGCTTGTTCCTGAGTGTGCTGGCTGCGGCATCTCTCAACTCTGGAATGTGGCTTGAACAAGCTGAGAAAATTTCTCCCTCAAAGTTTGACAACGACCCACCGTTATTTCAAGCAGACAGACGTGAGGGTCCCCGTACCGGTCGCTGTCCATGGTGAGCTTAGAGCAAGGGATCATCTCTCTATCCTCCCCCGTAGGGCATGGGTAGATCTGCAGAAAGTGGGAAGGCCATAACGGTCATTTGATTATCTTCAGTGCCGGCTGCAGAAATCCCAATAAATTGGAGTACCGGCAAGTGAGAATCCTGGTTGCATTCTAGAAATGAACAAGGATGAAGCCGACCCCTGTTCACCTCGTGGCGAATGCATCCACTGCTGCACGCTAAGCGCCACCAGGATTCCAGTAGTAGGGTTGGATTATTCAGAGTCTGGGACTCTTTTCCCCGGCGACGTCTGCCTATTGGGGAAAGCTTTGTCCAATTGCCCTGGCCAACTGGGACAATAGTCTCCACTGTCTTTCGCGAGATTTGTCCGTCGGGTAGCCGGAGCACCCAGGAATTGGATGGATGGAAGGACCAAATCTCCCTAATATTATGTTATCTGCACCATGGATCCAATATCCCAGCCATGCACGAACCTGTCCAGTCGGCAGTCATCAGGACTAAAGCGACTCAGAAAGTATAATTCCCCTGGTGCCGAAATCTTGTGGGAAGCAAGTTAGTTTCACGATAAAATAAATATACTTGAGTGGTCGCATCTGTTCTGTCAAATAATGACCTCTATCGTCGCGGACCTTTGCCCTTCGTGATGGGTTCCAGCATAACCAACCCTTCCGGACTGGCCCTGGAAAGGGGCATGTGGGCTGCAGTTGCAGTAGCCACCTTTATTCTCATTCTCCGAATCATTGCGAAGATCAAGATTCGCAACTTTCGCATTGACGATGTGTTGATGATCATAGCCTGGGTAACTAATCGTCCTTCCCTCTCCCCGCACTAACCATGGGCCCTTTTGTCGCATGTCTGACCATCTGTGTTTCAGGCACTGACACTCGCATCCACGGTCATTTTGACGCTTTCTGTCCAAAATGGCTTCGGCACGAATCTCACCAAACTCCCGTTCCATTACACCTCGAAGGTGCTGAAATACATCTCCTTCGAAGTACTCCTTGTCACCCTTAGCACTGGCATCGCCCGCTCATCTTTTGTCCTCTATCTGTTGGCTATCCTCGGGGGAAAGAAGAAGTATTGTGTCGCATTATGGATTGTCATGTTGCTGCAGCTCAGCGCCAACATCGTCTCTGCGGTGCTGCCACTTTCCATCTGCCGCAACGCTCGGGTTCTTTGGGATCCGACCGTGAAGACAACATGTGGTAGTAGTGTCGCGGTCGTCAATTTCTCCTACTTTTCGTCAAGTAAGGTTTTTTCCATTCACTGGCCTTCTCACTTAGGATGTATGGCTAACGTCAGGTGTATCTAGCCGTCAACTCTGCTACTGATCTCTTCCTCGCGGTGTTCCCCACGATTATTTTCTGGAACCTAAACTTGAAGCTGCGGATCAAAATCAGTTTGATTATCCTGCTTAGTCTCGGAATAGTGTCAGTATATCAACGGCTCCACTTATTGGCCTGTCAGCTTACATGGAATTAGTGCTATGGTCGCCTCGATCATCAAGACCACCAAACTCAAGGAAGTCCCCAGCATCACCAACCTCGGTGCCGGCGGTGCGGTCGAGCTGATTCGCTGGGGTTTTTCGGAGAATCTGATTATTATCATCACCTCCTCCGTGCCCTGCATCCGACCTCTACTTATCTCGTCTGTGAGAAAGCTTTCAAGTGCGGCGCGTTCTCGCTCCTACGAACTCAGTGGTCCGCTCTCCGGCCAGAAAGGAACCGCGAAGAACGGCACCTTCCAGTCTCATGCGCAGGAGCAGCCCAGTACGGACAACCGCGATGACTGCGACAGTATCGAGCAGATCCTTAAGGATAGCTACCATTCGGGGTCGATGGTGGAGTCCGGGCGCGGGATTAAGAAGCAGGTTGAGATCTCGGTGGTGTCCAACCAAAAGGGCAGCCGCTGGGGTAGTGACCGGACTAGCCGCTCATAGCGGACATTTTTCCTTTGTTTGTTTCTATATTATCTATACTACTATCTGTCTCACTCTAGACAGCCAAACGCATGTTCACGAGTTACGCCAACTTGTCCTGCTATTTAATGCCATATAATGAGTTCAGACATTTACTGTGTGCCGTATATCATTTTGCGGAGCCCACTTATTCTCCGGACCCAAAGTTTTCCTTTGTATCTACAGAGTACCCTCTTCTCCAGAGATCTCTCCACAGCTCCCTGTCGGGAGTGCGTGCTTCTGTACCATCATTAGACACCGGAGGAATTACTCGGTTGGGCAGGTTTGCCATCGCCGGGAACCGTGCCTATTTTCTTGTCGGTCGGCGTACCGGAGTGAGACATCGATCCGGGCTTACGGTGAGCGAGGAAGCAGGCTATAGATATCCTACTCCTCAATAGTGCGCTTGGCTGGCTGGACCATAGTCGTCCTTCATCGCTAAACGACTCAGTCCTCGCTACATTAGGCAAGCATCCGAATGTCGGGAAAGCGAGTCGCACACCCAGAGATGTCCAGACCTGTCTCAGTCATGAACCGTGGTTCAAGAGAACGGGAGTGGATCCGGCCTCAGCTGACTGGGTGTCGATGCCGACTCCAGAAACTCCACCCCTTTCTGTGAATCAAGGCAAGATCGACCAATTTTTGGGCCAGATCGGGAACGGTCAACCATGAGGCCCTGGCGGGCAGCACTTCGGATATGACTGGCTGATCGAAGTCCCTTATCTGGCATTTGGCGTTTATGCAAGTGGTCGGAATTCGCTGGGAGAGTTGTAGACCCCTGGATAAAAGTACCGTAGTGCCTTACTAGCTGGATGTCCATAAATTGTGACTTTGGTCGGGAAGGGAAAGGGCGGTGGTGGTAGCTTTGGTGCCAGCTCCGTGTGTGGCGGCTGGATCGATCCCAGGCACACATCAGAGTAGACCAACCTACTTCCAGCCTCTCATGCTTATCTATGCATCAGAATGTCTTGAACTCTTATCATAACTCAAAATATGGACAATGATCTTGGTCGTTGCAACGGTTCGTTTCAAACGTCCACACTAACTTGCCACGTGTAAATCCTACCCATCCATTATGGGGAGGGAGTCCGCGGCCGCTCGACAATCATGTCGATCACTAACCCAGTCCAGCGACTGATTCATTTGCGACTGCCATGGCTATCACCTGCGCTTTGAACGACGTCAGGGCTCTGGGATGATTGCCCGGTTAGGAAGAAATACCGTACAAGTCCGTGATGGGTTGTATTTGCTTGTGATGATGTCTTCTCCTTGGTTGCTAACATCGGACTGTTGTACTGTTTTGGTGTGGATCGCTTTACAATTTCAGACATGTACAAATGGATCTAAAATAAAGAAACGATATGTCAATAAGCAGAAGAATGATGAGATCATGGGAGACTATGTAATCAAGAGCATGCGGGTTCTTCAACCGAGGTAGCGAGAGATCCCTATACTGGAATGCTAGCATGTTGGCTAGAAGGAGAACTTGGCGATTCCTCTTTCGTGTAAATCTGGGAGTCACAGCTCCGCTTACTAATATATTAGCTGATAATATTTAATGCACATTAGCATAAGATGACACAGCCTGCATATTGAAAGTTGTGCTTGCTCTGATGCCTTAGGAATACATCGTCTCGTACTATCACGTGATACACAACGCCAATGACATAATCAAGTGCTTATATCAGCAATTCGAGAACATGTGATCGAGAATCCTGCACTATACCATTTCTGGCGATGACTGAGCACGTCCAGACCCTTTTGGGAAAGGAGGCATTTGCTCCGTCTCTCCTCCAGCGTCGATCTGAGCTGGGCGCTGCCTTATCGATCGTGACTCCATCTGTATACAGACATCCTCCAGTCCTGCCGGACCTTGGATAGTACCATGGTCGATGATGCTGGACAGGATGCAACCGACGAGGGACCACCAGTGGCCCCGCTATGAGTTGTAGGAAACGATTGCGGCCAGCCAGTAAGTCGAAGTAACCTTAAGTCCCCATAATTGTTGAATGGAGTGCATGCTGACTGGCTTGATCCCTCGTCGCTCAGTCCACCAATGGTCGCATCTTCTCACACCCCGTCCGCTGTCGATCATCACGACATTTTGCGGGGTACCGATCCCTAGCCCTTCACCATGTGCGACATATCGAGATCTCAATGTACCCCAGCTGTCTCATCTAGATGTCGGAGACTCTGGCGCAGAGGAGGGCCAAAGAATCAGCAATGCAAAAAGCAATTATAGATCTGCTCTGGAACCTAGCTTTCACCGATGTTCAAACTCAGTCTCTATTTTCCGATTTGGAGAGCGCGAGCCGTGTCGTCACAGATGGCTAGCACGTCATCCGCACCAGCTGTTGCACATCCGGAACCAACCATCTTCGCAGAGTCGCAGACATCAGAGCCTGACGTCCGGACTTGGCCGCCCTTCCCTCCGCTAGTGCTCCAGTCGAGCGCCCCCGGGCGGGGGTTTATTGCCTGATGACCATTTTCATCGATATGTCAATATAAAGGATCTTCGCACGGACGTCGCATACCTGCCATCTGATTGCACAAAAGCAAGGGGCCTAGCTGCAGGCGCCACAGCTGACGGGATAGTCCATTACTTGTTATATCCCGCGGAAGCTTATAGTTGCCGTGTAGCACGCGCAAGCGCGAATCACGCAACAACAGGGGTCTGCCAGCTGAGCCACCGAGATTTTGGCCTGATCATCTTAAATATCAGTGCTGGCACTGACAGGTCATTTGGCTCTCTGTCCCCCTTACTTCCCAAATCGGCTCTTACTGCTCCTAAACCGCACCGAAATCGGTTGCTTTGAGGACCAGTCTTCTCACAATGGGTCGGAAATTGGGCCTCTTCCGGGCTATCTATCTGGTGTCTGCTAGTTGCATGGGCTCTTTTGCCTTCGCATTCGACACTGGTGTTATTAGTACGCTACGCTCCCTGGTTATTCGTTATCTACAACGACGAGCTAACCAGACAATGGCCAGGCGGTGTTCTTACGCTGCCCTCTTTCCAGAATGACTTTGGATACACGGTCGCTCAGAAAACCTCGGTCAACTCCAATGCCGTTTCCATCCTCCAAGCAGGCGCCTTTTTCGGCTGCTTTTTCACCACACCCATCGCATCCTACCTAGGCCGCCGGCTCGGCCTCATCATCAGTTCCCTTGTCTTCACCGTCGGTACCATCTTGCAGGTCGTCAACTCGCATACTCTGGGCACGTTCTATGCTGGTCGAGTGATAGCTGGTCTCGGCATTGGTGCCGCAACGGTGCTGATTCCAGTGTATGCGGCTGAAATGTCTCCTAAGGATCTACGTGGCCGACTCGGGTCTTGCTTCCAGTTGTTCTTCGCTTTGGGGGTCATGGTCGCCTATTGGGTCACGTACGCTGTGTCGATAGACCAGCCATCCGCAACAAAGCAATGGCAGATCGCACTGGGCCTGCAGCTTCTCCCCTCATCCCTTCTCCTATTCGGTATGTGCACGGTTAAAGAGAGCGCTCGATGGCTCGCCTCTAAGGGCAAAATTGATAAGGCTAGAGAGTCTCTCAAATGGGTACGAGGTGGGGAAGAAACTGAGGAGCTCCAGCAAGAATTTGATGAAATTCTGGCTGGCATTGAGGAGGAAGCTCGAATTAAGCAAGGTTTCACCTTCCGGGAACTGCTGCTTCCCGCAAATCGCTATCGGTTGTTCATCGCCTTTACGATCCAGCTAGCGGCGCAACTTACGGGAAACACGTCCCTGGCTTACTATGCCACTCAGATCTTCTCCGCCGTGGGTGCAGGAAATTCAAGCAAGCTGGTGACTGGCTTCTTCGGTGTGGTAAAAGTAGTTGGTGTCTCGGTCTTCCAGATTTTCGTTATGGATCGCATCGGTCGGCGATGGCCGTTCATGGTTGGTGCCGCCGCGATGGGGTCGTTTATGCTCATCATTGCCTGCATCTTGGCCACACATCCGACCAGCTCCAGCGACACCGGAAACGCTTCGCCAGCTGGAATCGCCATGATCATCATGACATATTGTGAAGCATTCAGTTTCAACATGTCCTGGGGCCCACTTCCCTGGCTATACGTGGGAGAGATATTTTCGAGTCGCACTCGTGAGATCGGTGTGACCGTCGGCGCAGCCTCACAATGGCTTTTCAACTTCATGATGTCGCAAGTGACCCCGCATGCGATTGAAAATATTGGATGGAGAATGTTTCTTATGTTTGCGATCTTCAACTACGCGATCGTCGTGTATTCATTCATATTCTTGAAGGAGGTTTGTCTTATGCCCCACTCTGCATTACTGATGAATTTGCTAACAAGGAATAGACCTCCAACTACTCTCTCGAAGAAATGCAAGGCGTCTTTGGCGGCAGCGACCCTACCAAGGATGACAAACTTACGACCACTGAAACCGCAGATAAGACACATACCAGCGAGGTCGAGGACAATCAAGGGACTAGCAGTGCAAAGCCCAAAGAGGGATGAAGATATCTTACTTAATTAATCATGATAATGTGTGAATAATAGAGACGAAGTGATGGGGTAATAGCATTGCACAGCCTACGATGATGGCGAGGGTCGTCTATACAGTGACTTGACATGGCATCAAAATATACCGTCTAACGAAATTCTGTTTTTCCTACAACACAACAACAATCATATCATAAGACGGAGACCTCACTTTGCAACCAATGCAAGAAACCTGGCCTGACAGCGGCTAGGCAGAGACTAGGCCAAATTACACCCCGTGGTACACCGGTCTGAGGCATCCACTACTGCTGAAGTGAACACCTGAGGCAACAAGAATCTCCTCAAAATGTAAACAGCATAGAGGCTCACAAAGCAACTTAGATGCACAACATTGAGCGGTACATACTATGACAACGCACGAAATGTCAATAATCCACAATCCCGAATCTAATCACTCCCCTGAAGCACCAGCCATAATCTCCTGCATTGCATCATCCACCCCACCAAACACATCCCATGAGAAATCCAACAACTCCATCGCCGACTCCGGCTGAGGATCCATGAAAAAAGACAAAAGCTCAGGTGTAGCATCAGGCTGCTGCGCCGGCACATAGTAGGGATCTACCGAGACCGGCCCTGCATTACCATTACCAGTGATGCCATCGGTACACGACCCATCATTCAAGGTAGTTGTAGGCAAGTCCATTATCGACACCCCTTGACTATTTATATTATTGTGCAAGGTCCCGCTACGTCCTGATGGAAGTGATGTCGATGTTTGACCAAGTCTCCGAGAGAACCGCCGCATCGTAGCCCTGGTGATACAATCCAGTACATCGCGAGTCCGTTTCACTTCAAGCCAATATTCCCCGGTAGCGCTGAGGATATCCGAAGCGGACTTTAGGGCAGGTAAGACGGTTTCGAGGGTTGTTTCTTCCTCTTCTAATCCATTTGGTGCCCATATACAATAAAATATAGTGATCGTGCACAGGAACAGCGATTGCACAATCGTCCGGTTATAGTGCAACATACTGGTAATGTATAAATGGCGGTAAAGCCTTGTGCATTCCAGGGCGGAATCAAAGCACAACTTGATCAAGGTCTTGGACGGGTATGGGAAGAGAGGACTTGGGCGTACGACCAACATCACTAACTCATGGTATTTGATCTCGAGCAGATTGTTTAGATAGTATGATGGGCTTTGTGGGTGATGCTGAGGGATGGTTGCTTTCCACTGCCGTAGACGGTGAAGTATATCTTGTCGCCAGTGGTTGGGGTCTGTGATGGTCGGTTGTGTGTAAGGGGGGTAATTTCGGTCGATGCAATATAGAACGCATTTTATTTCGGCGTTGAAGCGAGCGAGTTTGAAGAGGTGGATCGCGCTGGACATGTCGGTTATCCCTGGTGTAGAGGGTTGATTTGTAATCGGTTGGTCTGGTTGTAGGTCCTCGTCATTGATGTTGTGTGGTAACTGTGTTGACTATTAGCCTTGTCTTCTATCGTATATATGGGCCGCAGGGGGAAGACGCGAGATACCCTCAGATCACATTGCTCATCCATAATACCTATTGCCCTACCGAGTGAAGTGCACAGATAACGATCCATTGTATAAACGCACCAGAAGACGCGGGTGCGCATCTCCTGATCAAACTCGGTAAAAGCAGAGCCTCGAACATTACGATGCAAACCAAGTTCCAACACATGAGCCAGACAATGGTAATGCAGTGTCCACAGGCTGATCGTCGAGGAAGGATTATGAAATGTGTACATTTGCAAAAGAAGCATGCACTGTACGCCGCGCACTGACGATTTCTGGAAAATGGTGTCCAAGTGGACTATCGCCGAGGCACAGTATCCTTCTGCAGAAAGAAGTATCTTCACTTGTTGCGATCGGATAGTGGCCCCAATGGCCAGGACCATGTAGATCTGGAATTGATCGATGGGTGGGAGGAGTTCGATGCCATTGTAAGCCTTTTGCAGAAGGTCCAGGTGAGATGGTCGATGCAGGAACGGAAATTGCCCATGGACTGCTTGGAAATACGCCTGTGTCAACCACTGGGCCTGTTTGAGCTCAGATGGAAGACCTTTGGGCTGAATATCAAGAAGCTCAGCAGGGATGAAGTTGGTTCCTCCGGTTGGGGGAACTGATTCTTGTGCCAATCCGGCTCGTCGTCCAAGGCCGGTTAGCACGAACCTGGTAAAGAATAGCCCGCTGGAAGGGCCCAAATATCGAAGATCGGCCTCTGCGTTGATCGAGACCAGTCCAAGTTGATCCGTGATGTCACGCGCTGGGCCCCAGTCATCCTTGTCATTCCCGATTTGGGAAGTATGTGCTTCAGGAGCAGTGGAAGGGTTCGATCCTCTGCAGACCGAGGCACGATGACGATCCAAGGGAACACTTCCCTCGGGTTCATCAGGTTTGTGGAGGTCAATGTATGGTAGGTGCTCCCGGATGATGGACTCCAGCCATTCTATTCGCGCTTCTAGCTCATCGACGTAACTGAAATACTATATTAGTATGTTGGTATAAGCAGGCCGTTCGGATTTGATAATAAGCCGGCTTACTTTCGGGAAATGTCACGGACTGAAACTCCTTCAACACAGTTCACATGGGCTCGTTGGCAACCCCCACAGACGGGAGTAACTCCGTCGCACTAGAAGAGATTACTGGATCAACTAAAACAGTCATTTTCTGCCATCGGCGCACTTACTCGGATTTTCCGTTTCTGACACCGAGCACATGCGGTCATGATCCGGCCTCGGGGTGCTGTCCGACGTCGGGCATGTCGGGCTGGAAGTACTCTTTCACTCTGCATTATCGTAACCAGTAATAGCAGTCATATCATGTAAATAGTGATGGAATAATGATCGAAGGTTGGCGTACACATGCCATTGTTGTTGATGATTGTCCATGACATTCTTTTCTTAGAAATCATGAAAGTGATTAGTCAGCTATCTGGTCCAAACACAACATCGATCGCAAACTAACTATAATCACTTTAGTAGTCATCCAACGTTCCCAAAATGCACTTTTGCTCATATGACCGATGGAGCTCCTTCGTGTAGAGCCTCTCCGGTCTCGTAAGCTACCTACTTGCTTGTCAGACAGTTGACGGAGGTGAGACGGATCAAAAACCCGCAATGTAGGGCAGGCGGGGACGGACAATAAAACCCGCAGCGGAGAATGTCTCCGCAACAAGTGAATAGGCAAAGAAAGTGGTATATAAGATACCTAGACAGGTTCCTATCCATCCGTCTCTTCTGTTATCTATTGAATCATTATTTCAAACGTGTCTCTCAGAAAAAACATGGCGTTAACCTACGATGTCTTCCGCGGCTCTCCCGAGGGCAAGATCGTCAGCGACAAAGTCTCTAGCGACCTCGAATACAACGAAGTCTTCATCGAGACCCTCGCATCCGGCGTCTGCGGAACAGATGAACACTACCTGAAGACAAGCCAAGTCCTGGGCCACGAAGGTGTGGGTATCATCAAGGCCATCGGGCCCGGCGTGCGGACGGTCAAAATCGGTGACCGCGTGGGATTTGGTTTCACTCATGGGATCTGTGCGCGATGCGATAACTGCGCGAAAGGTAAGATATCTATACAGCTATCGCTTTCATGACTTGTTATAACTTGGAAGTATACTAACGAACCTTGCCCGGGTATCAAAGATATGGACCAATACTGCCGAGAAAAGAAACAATACGGCACAAACGATTTCAACAACGGTAGCTTCAGCTACGGCGCCGTCTGGGACGCAAACTGCGTATTTCGCATCCCGGACGAGATAGAAACGGCCCATGCCGCACCCTTGATGTGCGCAGGGGCTACGGTGTGGACTGTTCTGACACGGTTCGACATGCGCCCTGGTGATCGAGTTGGCATACAGGGCGTGGGCGGTCTCGGTCACCTGGCTATCAAGCTGGCTGCTGCGATGGGGTACCATGTCGTCGTGCTCTCGAGCTCCGAGGCCAAGAGGCAAGAGGCTATGGAGTACGGCGCGTCGGAGTACCATGTCTTTCGGGCGGAAAGCCCTCTCCAGTCATTTAAGCCATTGAAGCATCTCCTGCTTTGTGGGAGTGCTGATGTGAAGTATTCTTCGTGAGTTGTTCTGCGGTTGCTTCTGGTGCTACATGCGTAGGCATATGACTGATTAGGTACGTTGTGGACAGAATCCTACCACTCATGGATAGCCCTAGTGCTATTTATCCCCTGACTGCAACTTTCGAGCCCTCTCCAATTCCTACATTGGAGCTATGCTTCAAGGGCTGTAAGATCCAGGGCTCCTTGGTTGCTTCCCGTCAGAGTACACAGGCACTTTTGGAGTTTGCGGCGAAGAAGCAGATTAATCCAACTATAATGACCTTTCCGTTCACTGGCTCTGGCATAGAAGAGGCGATGAGCCAGTTGAGAAAGGGGAAGGTGCGCTATAGGGCTGTGCTCATTCGGGAGACATAGATAGTCTTGATAGTTCATCGATGTGTATTATCTAGCAGCGCGGTGCTAAGTGCTATATGAAAACATACTCGGAAACTCATGTTTGCAGAAACATTGAAGATCGATATGAAATATCCTGGCGGGAGCAACTATGATCTCGTTTACAATGAGAACAGTATAGATAGCTTTTGGAATCGGGATAGATGCGGATGTAAATCAAGCCCGGGGTGCGATTGACATGCTGGCGTGCAAGTCAATTCTTAAACCTAGGTCTGCATATTGATTGATATTTGGTCTTCTATTTTAGCATTAATCCTACATCATACTCTATAATAGAGGATATAAGGGTCTTCAATGATAAAATAAGCACATACGACCACAGGGTGTGGAAAACAGGGCTTCCCGTCCGCTCAGCCGTACTTAAGCCACACGCCGGGAGGTTAGTAGTTGGGTGGGTGACCACCAGCGAATCCCTTCTGTTGTATGTTTTTCCTTTTTGGTTTTATTCTTTTTTTACCCTCTGGCCATGAATGAATAGTGATGGTTGGTTGACTGAATCCCAAAGAGGCATGGCATTATCCTTCAAGCCCCGATACATTTATATGCCACTCATTAACTAACACCCCACACATAACTACCTAAATCTTAACATCGCTACCACGTAAAGCTACCTTCTTCCCCCTTGCCTCCTCCGCCTCCTTCTCCCACCACCTATTTCGATACCTCACAAACTCCCAGAAAACCTTCCCCCATTCCGGCCGATACGGAGGCAAAATCCTCCCCGTTGTCCTCGGTGCCGGGTCGCCCGCGAGTACACGGAGCTCTTCAAAATGTTTCTCGAAATCAGGAATCAGAGTCCAGAATGCAGCTTGATCGCCGTATTGCGCCACCCGGTCGAGTTCCCATATTTTCATTTCCTCTCGCGGAGGTAATGCTGCGTGTCCGGCGAGGATACGTGCTGTGGCTACGGCTTGCCATTCGAAGATGCGGATGCCGAAGCCACCGGTTACCTTGATACTGGGATTAGGTTCAGTTTAATAGGAGGGGTTAGAGTGATATCTTACCATGCCGATGAATGCTAATGTTGGATCATCGATGTCGAAAATATGCTGATATAAGCCGGGGATTCTCTTATGTACTGATTTAAACTGCGGGAGGAAGGGAAAGCTAAAGTCATAGCCGGTTGCGAATAGGATATGGTCTACTTTATCGATCGATGATCCATCGGTGAAGTGAACCTGGCCTGTATTGGCGTCCAAGGAGGAAATTTGGCTCCGATTGTCGATGTCGGGATGAGTGAAGGGCGCAGGACCGAAGATACGCGATGGACTGCGTAGCGAGGAGATGATAGGCTTGTGGCAGACTTGGCGGATGTCGTGGAGGGTTTCGAATGCTGAGACTGAGCCGCCTACTATGATGACTCGCTGTGAGTAGAATAGGTCAGCATTGAGTGAGTCAGAGGTGCTCTTCTTTTCTGATTTAGGGGTAGGATTACCTTTCCACGAAACTCCTCTGCCCCCCGATAGTGTTTACTATGTCGAACAGTCCCGGGGAACCGCTCTTCATAGTCCACCAACCCCGGGATATTGGGAAAATAAGGGAGATAGTAGTGGCCGGTAGACACTACAACAGCATCGAACCTCTCCTGCCACCAATAATTCTTCTCTCCTCCCGGGGTTGTTTTTCGCAACGTGAGAACCCATTCTTCGGCTTCATGCTCGGCCAGTTCAACAGTTGTCCCCAGCTCAAGGAGGTGACTGTGTCCCCCTCGGGTAAAGATAGAACCTACCCAGTCTTGAATCACCTCTCGGGAACGAAAAGGTGAGTCTGGACCGTACTGTGTCAGTGTCTGCTTTGATAACACCGGGGGAATGGGCTCTTGTGTGAAACACATGATATCGGGCGGCAAGTTACTGTGTAGCTGTGGGTGTGTGCCTGTATCGGAGAATCGTAGTTGAGGTGAATTGATCTCTTTCGTTACGGGTGTTTCGCATGGAAAATTGGACGGTATGCGGATACTTTGGTCGGCATTGTGGTGAAGGAGATCTTGGAGGGAGTTTATGCCGGTGTTTTGGTGTGCGGAAAGAACCCTACTCAATTGTTAGTGAAGATGTCTTTCACTTGTAGTTATTGGAGTTGTAGCGGACCATGTTCCTCCTGGAACTGTTTGCCTGTCGAAAACCCGGATGGTTTCAAAGGCTTGTTCTTTGACTAGGGCATCCGTTGCAATTGCCCCTGCTGGTCCGGCGCCAATTACGGCAACTCGTCGGATTGGTTTCATCATGAGAATTGATGTTTTATGTTGGAGAAGAGCGGACAGTATTCCTCAGTAAGAACAGAAATCAGAACCAAGGATTTAATCGCAGAACTGAGTCGTGCCACGGCCCTTGCCTGCCGACACCGGACATATTCACGGGTTGATAAGAGCGCCAAGCTGTGGCTATTGGCAATGGGCTGATTTTACCCATTCGCAATTACTCCCCTCTCTCGATGGACACCATGCTTATCCTCGGAACATCACCGAGGTCGCTGATTGCCGACTTGGCGATAGGGTCATATTCGCCATTATAGTCTCGATCACGACAGAAACAATCCCCTCTAGATCGAGATCGGGATTTGGATTGCACAATTGATAACCTCGATGTCTTTATCTACAAGCTAAGCCTGTATCCTGATATCCCCTTCGCTATTCTACATTCCATCCCAACATGTCCCCCCGCCCAATCATCGAATTCTACTTCTCCTTCATCTCACTATGGTCCTACATCGGCAGTCGACGGTTCCAAAGCCTGATTCAAGAAACCAACGCCCGGGTTATATACAAACCAATTGATCTGATGTACATTTTCTCTATCTCCGGCGGCCACCCCGTCAAAGATCGCTCTACTCAACGACAAGCCTACCGTCTCGTGGAAATGGAGCGATGGTGCAGAATCCGCAACATTCCAATTATACCACACCCTAGATTCTATCCTGCTGATTCGTCACTGGGTCATCGTGTTCTTCTCGCGGCGATTGATGAGGTTGGCCATGATAGCCCATCTGTACAACAGTTTGTGCATAAGTCATACGAGGCAGTGTGGGCGAGGGAGATGGATATTGCTGATTCGGCTACGGTTGTTCGATTGGCGGACGAGGCTGGATTGGATGGGGCTCGGCTTTTGGAGAGGGCACGGGGAGAACCTGCCTTGGGGGGGAAAGAGGTGGCGCTGACTGAGGAAGCTAAGGCTAGGCAGGTTTTTGGTGCGCCGTTTTATGTTTATCAGGGTGAGCCGTTCTGGGGACAGGATAGGTTGGAGATGTTGGAGGAGGTTGTTAGGTCTGGGAGGGAGGCAATTGTTACTCGGGGGATTTAAATGATGTATCTTAGATCATGAGTGTGTTAGTTTGATATAGCTAGTTGTACTTGCTGGTCAAAGTCTGAATTTTGAGGAAGTACACATTTTCTACAGAGTTATGGTGTTTCCTATCGAGGAAGCCGAACTATCGAACACTCATGTACCAGGGTACTAAATATAGCAGTTCATAGCGTTCGTTTCTTTGATTCCGGCAGCTCCTATACACATGTGCTGCTCAGTTATAGTACTTGACAGAGACCCCTTTAACGATTTCCACATTCTCCACGTCATTATCACCCTCCGTGCCAGTGGAGTTCCCCAAATTCTTGATGACTCTTTGTTTAACCCATTCTCCTGCCTTGATATGCTTGCCATCGCTTCCAAAGACTTTCTCGCCCGTGAGACCTCTCGCCTGAAGCACGGGCGATTCCTCAATGGGAATGAGATCGGTGTCGTCTTCAATTCTCACCATGTATAGAACGCCCAGTCGATCGATATGAGCTTGATCTTTTGGCGGAGCTACCACACGATGGATACTCGACTTGAGGTAGCCGTCTGAATATTACTCGCTGATTAGCATTGAAGTTTTGAGAGGAGTGTTCTACTTACTGGTGAGGAAATCCAGCGCATCTGCTATATTCACCGTCAAAGCATTCATCTGCGGCTGAACATATTTCCAAGTTCCTTCTTTGGTCAGAACCTGAAGTGCTGCCACAGGCTGGCGGAACAGTAACGTCAAGCTGCCCATGTCCGAGTGTCTACAAAATTCTTCGTTAGAGCTATTCACCAAAGCAAGAGGGGATAGACTCACCCTTTCAGCCACACACCACACAATTTCCGATTCTCCTCCTCAGTCCGGGCATAATACTTCATATATCGAAGATGATCACCACTAGTCTTCTCATACCGATGCCTCTTTACCAACCACTCTTCATCTTCAAGTCCAAGTGCAATGGCAAATATAACGAGAAGTTTCGTGACAATTTGATCATGGATCTGCTTCGAAAACCGTTCAATAATGGCCAGATTTCGTCGCACAACTTCCGGATGCTTTGTATCAGCATGCTCCGGAATGAATTTCGGGATGTTGTAGATCTCAAAATTATCCTTGACTCCGGGAATGAGATTCCTGGTGCCCGCTGGCTTCCAGCCATTGTAGTCCCCTTCTTCCAAAGCAGCTCGATATTGGGATTTCTCCTCGTTCGATAGCAATAGACAGGATTTTGCAATAGCAAATTGAGTGTCGATGGCTTGTTCTGTGATGCCGTGGTTTATGACGTAGAAGAATCCTATTTCATCATGTGTTAGTTTTATGGGTTCTATGTATAAGGACTTGGTAGATTGCACATGCCCACATCTTCAATCGCCTTGGTCAACTCCGCAGCGAGCTCTTTTTTGCCTCCGGGTTCGTCGAATTTTGAGAGATCCAGTGTTCTCAAATCGGCCCAGTCGAGGTCCTCTGATGTTTCTGGGACTTGTACATATGATAGCTCGGTTGTGTCTGTGGTGGCCATGTTGCAGCGATGATTTAAGTCCAGTTTGGTGTTCGTTATAACTCGACGGAAGAATTCTTTATGTATGGGTTGATATAGTTGTTGGTAGTAATGGTGGAGATGACCTCCCGTCATACTAGCCCTTATCACACCACCGTGTCCCTTGATTGCCTCTTAGCCCCCAATCACGCGTGATCACAGCAATCAATTTGCTCCAGTTTATCTCTCGCGCCTTTCCCCTCAATTCCCACATGGATGTACCAAGTGGGTTTGGGATCCTTCCATCGTTTTTCCAGATCCCGGTGTTGAATCCCTGCCCTTGGCCCATGGACGCACGTCATTTCGCATTGCTTTGCGCGATAGATAAGTCACAGAAAACTTTGAGCCAATTCTCCATGTGCGATTAGGCAGGCATTCTACTCTGTGCCTGCTTCCGAAGTCGGATGTAATTTGTTTTCATTGCCTCTAAAAGCTTCCTTCCAGAGAATCGCGAATCCTTACAAAATTCTGATGAATCCCAAGTACATTGACGTCGGGAAAGCACCTCTCTTCAGCCGCTAAAATGGAGAGTCCAGTCTCTAACCATCCAGACGGGGCAATGAAGCAGTACAGCGTAACTGAAGGGGACGCCATGTCAAAAGATGGTCTTGACTCCACTGAAGAGGGACCGAGGCAGTTTGATCCCCAACTGCATGAACGAGTGTTGAGGAAACTCGATTACTTTTTGATGCCAATGATGGTAGTTGGTAAGTACCGGTGGCACTTCACAGCTACATATCACTAACATATGCATCAGGCTATGGACTGGTGTACTACGACAAAGTGAGCATGAATCTGCCCAGAAAGGCACTCTTGACAGGTGGCCACCTGATGAACTAACATTTAAAGGCAATCCTTGGAAGTGCTGCCATACTCGGTATGACTACAGACCTTCAGCTCTCTGTGACTGATCACTCGGTCACCCCAGTTACAACCGACACCTCAAGACTGAGCTGGGCAACATCGATCTTCTATTTTGGCCAGTTATTTGGCTCCTACCCGATGACATTCATCTTGCATCGTTTCCAGACCCGATATGTCCTAGGTCCTACGATGATCCTCTGGGCGATAGTATGCGCTTCCACTGCAGGAGTAACTACCTGGCAAGGCCTTTTTGTGCAACGCTTCTTCTTGGGTAGTCCCCCTATCCTTCTTCTCTTATTCATTTGCTTTTTCGTGTGTGACAACGATGCTAACAGCATCAGGTTTCACGGAGTCGATAATTCCCACATGCTTCATGGTCACTGTTAGTGGGTTCTATACTCAATCCGAGCAAACCCTACGCCAAAGCTGGTGGTTCTCCGGCACAGGATGGCTGACAATCATCGGCGGCGCCTTCAACTACGGGTTTGCCCAGATTGAGAAGAGCGCGCTGAGGCCGTGGCAGTATATATACCTATTTGCTGGAGCTCTAACATTTCTAGTCGGCATTGCTTGTTTCTTCCTCCCGTCCTCACCTTCTGAAGCATGGTTTCTTACCCCGGAAGAGCGAACTATAGCGCTGGAGCGACTGCGAGAGGGCCAAACCGGGGTGAAAAATCCGACTTTGAAAAAGTCCCAAGTAAAAGAGGCAGCTCTGGATGTGAAGGTGTGGCTGGTTGCTGTGATCATGGCCTCGGCGTAGGTCTTCCATTTCCTCCCCACTTATCGTCCATGCTAAACCCCCCTCAACAGATATACCGTAAATGGCGCAGTCTCTGGCTTCGGTCCTCTCATCGTGGCAACCTTCGGTTACACCTCCCTCGAGGCCATTCTCTTCCAGTTCCCTCTTGGTAGCATCTCCAGCATAGGCATCATCCTCATCGGCTGGCTATGCAGTCGGTATCGCAACATACGCATTCTAAGCTTATTCCTTTGCTGCCTTCCAGTAATAGCTGGATTCGCCATGATGTGGAAATCGACCTGGGGAGTGAGACCCATCACACCAGTGGTAGGATACCAATTGATTGGTTTCTTTGGCCCGGTTGTCAGCCTTGCTATCTCGCTAGGGGCTAGTAACGTTGCAGGCCATACGAAAAAAAGCTTCATGGCATCGGCCATCTTTGTTGCCTACTGTGTGGGCAACATCATTGGTCCGCAGTTGATTAAAAGCCAAACGAAGAGTCAGCATTATCCGGAGTTGTGGACGGGGTTGATTATTTGGTATCTTTCGATCCTGTTCTCGTTGATTTCTTTGTTAGGATATTCTTTGGAAAGGTAGACTGACGTGTGCATGTTTATAGCTACTGCATTACCATCCTCTGCTGTCTTGTACTTTATATACTCCTCTCGAGAGAGACGAGCCGACGAGCCGCGCTGGACTTGGATGAATCCGAGCAGGACAGAATCGCGTTTGATGATTTGACTGATAAGGAAAATTTGCATTTTCGGTACGTGTATTGAGTGGGTTGGCTGCACATGCTACTCTATTTATCATGTCATCGAGATGCTACGACATATTTTACCTTTCCTTGTGTCTGTACTTCTGCGTTGTATATATAATTGAACCTTTGATCACACCGATCCAGAAGAGCAGAATTTCAAGAGCCACACTGTTAACAGTGACATCGATGTAATTCCACACCACTGTTAAAATATATTTCCTACTCTCCTAATTCATGCTAATGTCTTTCAACACACATAACCCATTTGTATCTTGTATCTAGTACATACGACCACAGGGTGTGGAGAACAGGGCTTCCCGTCCGCTCAGCCGTACTTAAGCCACACGCCGGGAGGTTAGTAGTTGGGTGGGTGACCACCAGCGAATCCCTTCTGTTGTATGTTTTTATATTTTTTACAGATTTTTGGCCTTGTCAAGTTCATGGCCAGTACCGCCCTACACTCAGTAATGCAAATACCAACCGGACTTTACAAAACTCTTCTTCAATCACTTAGCAGTAGGCTGACATGTAGGGGAACAGTTAGGGCATAGATATTTATCTTCCAGTAAGTCAAACCATTCCGGTATCTCTTTAATCAGAGAATTCATGTATTTCTCCAGCTTGGACGCAGACTTGACATAGACTGTTGTTATATTATTATACTGCTGACAATTACAAAAGATCAACTTGAGATCGTCGACCTGGGCTTTTGAGGTAGAATATTAACTATTCTCTAACCTTTCTTCCATTGGCGATAGGTCCATTGGAGATTCAATGACCTTGTAATAATCTGGGATTTTATCTTTGATAGCTGGAGAGAAGAAGGGCCAAGCTTGTTTATATACTTAAATTTAGTTCCCGAGGTGGGCCATGAGATGAGCTCCATATTCCTTTACCAGCTGGTCTGATAAAACAGCACAGAACATAATTTTGGCGAATTTGCGATGTCGGATCACTTCGAAAGTCATTTGGATATTCTCAGTAATTGCTTTTGGAACAGGTGTTTGTGATCTGTTAAAATTATAATACTCTCCGTGGAATTATCATTATTAAAACCTGAAACTCTATCTTATTATTCTGTTCGTCTACAACTGCGGGCTTCAAGATGGTCAGATGGCTTCAACACATTTTTATAAATCCGAGCATACTTTTTCTGGGAAAGGAACCATCCGGGTTGCCGCGAAAATGCTTCTGATCGGCGGTGCCTCCCCGTCATCAGAGCTTCTACTTCTTTTAACATCGGGGGGAGCATTTGGCTCTTCCGAGGTTGGTCTCTTCGCGACAACGTGAGGTCGTGCGTTGTCGACTGGGGATGACTGCATCTCTGCTTCGTCCGTCTGTATTAAGGAATGCCAATGAGAGTGGGCAGCCAGATATATATGTATATATATATAAATATAAGCTTGTCAGTTGGGCAAATGCAGGCATTGCCCGTCGAATAACGGAGTGTCGTGTAAGTGCTGCCCCCTGTCTTTCGCGTTCCGATATATGCATTATAAGGTCATGTGACGGGTTGCGAGGAGCTTATCTTGGTAAGTTGAGAGATTTGGTGATTTTCCAGGTGATCGGGCATTTTCCGCTGCGGATTCCCTTTCCGCCTACTGCGGCCTCCTGAATGCATATGCTCTCTGTTATGGGATGTTGTTCATATCCATTTGCGACTCAGGCCCCGTTTACCTAACTCACCGTGCCTAAAGCTACGCTCGTAACGCTCGCAGGACCACGGTTTTTTAATTCTCTGTGAGCTGTATGGACCTAGAAGATTGGGAATACCTTTAGTTACATATATATACTAAATCATTATAGAAGGTCAGAGTGACCCCCAAACGTACGTAAAATACGGGTGATAGCGAGGATGTTGTCGATGAACATACCTTCAATTGTCCAGCAAGGCGCATTCTGTAGCTGTTCCCCTATAGTTTCATTATCCTTCAAACATAACGCAGACCTAACTTGGTGATGGACTTTTTTTACTAGAGGTACTGATGAGGCTTATTTTTTTATTATTCAGAAATTCATTCATAACAAGCCCGGGTGGTCTAGTGGTATGATTCTCGCTTAGGGATACAAACCCAAGCATATCTGCGAGAGGTCCCGCGTTCGATCCGCGGCTCGGGCCTTGTACCTTCCTTTGTGGATATTTTTCTTTCTCATTTATTTTTTAATAACTCCCTCTTTCTCTATCTTTCTTCTCTTCGTGGTGTGAGAATGGTCAATAGAAAGAAGTGCACTATAATTTGTGGCACTGAATTGGAGGACTGACTAACTTTGGGCAAGTTAGATCAGTAATCACGGATTCCTATGCCGCTACTTTCACACCTTTTATTTATGTACGAGTTTCAAGGTATTTATTTGAAAATTTTAGCATGTGTAAAATCTAAAATAATCCCATTTAATTTTCTCCCTCTAAGTGAGAATGTTTATATGACTTATGTAGGAATTATAGCTGGGTTAAATATTCCTCCACTGTTACATGAACCCGCTATAGTGGCTCTGCTCACGGACGCTCCAATTACAGTGAGTCTGGCCAAATTTGTTCGGCGGTACTTGTTACGAACACCCTCATAAGAGAAGGACAATCTGTCGGATGGCTTCGAATTTTGCGCGTAGTAGCAGAAATCGCATGTCTTCAACTCGGTTTAGGGACTTCTGCCTGCATAGTCTCCGTGATAGGGCTGGTTGAAGTTCTGCCGATTGTAATGACATCACGAGGTCTCCACTTGGTCTAAGATTCAACCATGAACCTTAATTGTTCTTCGAGATTCACCCCCTGGGAGGATCGGTGAAATACGCCAGCTCCTGGCAGTGCGAAGGAAACATTTTACACACTGATACCTGGCGAGGATGCAACCAGCCACATTGGAATGAACCAGACAAGCGAGACGCCTCTCTTCGTAGTGGAAGAGGTTATCTGCGCCTACCCCATCAGCACCTTCTACGACTCGTGTCCGCGCTATCTCTTCTATGCCCTCCTTCTAGCCACTTGTGTCACTCGTTGGACCGGCTGGCTCGCAGACGTCTTCCTGGGTGCGGCAGCAACATATGCCGGAACCGCCGCCATCCAAGCCTTCGTTCTCGTTTCCAATCCGGCGAAACACAATCCCTACGAGCTCATAACAATCCCCTTAGTCTCCGATAACACCTCGCTATGGAACAGCTTCCCATCGCTAATCACCGGGGCCGATCAAATCGAACTGAGTCCAGCTGCACTTGAGCTAGATGCCGACGCCGTTCTCGCCATAGTAGTAACAGCTTACCTCACCTTCCTGCCTCTTCAATGCTGGTCGCGTGCTTTCTCCCATGAAAGAGCTCGTTATATCCTTTTCGGCTTATGGCACGTTCTCATGCTTGCAGGGTCTATCTGTGCCCTGATATATTGGCCCACTCTCCGCGACACTCCTATCCAATACACCTTTTGCTACCCGGATCTTCCACCCATGGGCACCGTCTCTAGTGATGGATGGGAGGCATGGCAGCGCACCTCAACCTGGAACAACAGTGTCTGGGAAATATTCAGCAACAACACCATGTTCGATCAGTTACCAGGCGTTTGCTTTTATCCCTGCTTCAACACGACACAGATTCTGCGCCAACAGACCACTCTTGAGGCCACTGTCGCCACGGGGGACTACCGCGTTCACCAACGAAGCGAATTCTGGGACGAAGTCGTCTATTCCAAACGCTACATCTACAGTCTCATAGTCCTTACTGTTATCGTGAACTTCTTCCTCTTATTGTTTAAGATCCTTCCGTATCGATCACGTCTTCCCTCAGCTCAAGTACGCAGCATCTGGATCGAGAGGAAGAACATCTTCAATGGGTTAAGGAAGGACTTCCGCTCCGCAATATATGTGTCTCAACTTCATCGAACCGATTTGATGGATTCAACGAGGGAAAAGCTCTCTGTGTGGAGACCTACCCGGGGTCTCTTTACCTTACACGCCTTGGGCTCGTGGCTGAGGCTTCTTCTCGATACTATAATCCTATGTGCGTTGGTATTTAGCATTATTGTGAGCCCGCTGACGGTCATTGCTTTTGTGGTGTGGATTGAGTATTATATCCACGAAGATGGACCATCACAGGAGACGCCGCAGCAAGTGGGACAGTGGTCTCCGTTGGTATCTATTGGATTTTTGTTGATTTCTGCGGCGATATTGAAGTTGAAATATTGGGTGGCTTCGAGGGAGGAGCTGGAGGAGGAGATCGAGCATCTCCGAGGGAAGTTGAAACGGCTGGAGAGGCTTAGAGAGGAGAAAGTGTATAAATAGCGAAACCTCAATCAAGATTATTGTCCGGTTCCGTCCCTTCCGTTTATCGAATCGAAAGACTAAATAACTTGGCAGTTACTCGAGGACAAAATATAACAGAATGTGTTCGATTGCAAGGCCTACCTTAGAATCCTATCTGAAGTATAAATACAAGTAGATAGAAACTGCTGATGTCATATAATATCCGCACCCTCCTTATCTTTATGTTCTTATCACGTTCTATACAATAGCTAGCATCTACTAGAGGCCCTCTCCCCTTCTCCTACAATATCACCAATTACAATACAGCCAGCTCGTGTATAGTCTGCTACAGCTAAATATGGTACTAATACATGCAGTGATACCATACCCACTCCCAAAATGACTCACATGACCTCGAATCCATTCACTATCAACAAGCTGCAGCCTGCCCAAGGCGGTGACCCAAGACAAGTAGGCCCACTCATAAACCTTTCACGGTGTCACTCTTTCAGGGCAAACCTGGGTGGTCTAACGGTTAATCACTCGCGTCGGGTCTTTCATGTCACTTAGTTGAGAGGTTCCGTGTTCGATCCGTATCAGGACCTTGCCTTAGACTCTGAAATATTGTGTCGCCCATTTTTTTGACCTTTTTTGCTTCGGATCTTTGCCCCTACATGTATCACCATGCTTCCTCTTATTGCTTCCTACCATCCTCTACATACACACACACACACACACACACACACACACACACACATCTCCTTTAACGAGGAAACACACATAAAACCACATACAACTCCAGAGAAAGAAAGAGTCAACCTCAGATCTTCCCTCCCTCCGGAATCGCCAACAACGTACACCCATCATTATCACACCCCGCATACGAGACCTCATTCCCCCACCAATTCAAATCGACCTCCTTATACTCGACAGCAAAGAAGATAATAATGGCAGAGATAGCCACTCCACACGACATAGCGGTCGTGAACACATACGCGTACTTCTCCCACCAGGCCTGCCACCGTCTCTTGATCCAATAGTTGAAGATGAATCCCACCACCATCGGACACCACGCGTACGTAACATTGTACGGAGAGATATCGCAGATCCCGTAGAACACCAGCGGGATATAAACATATCGGAGAAAGGAGCGCGGACGCCATTTGGTGATAAAGTAGAAGGGGATGGGAAGGAGGGCGCCAACGAGGAAGCCGTATAGCAGCGGGTTGTAGATCTGTCCTGTGCCGAAGAGGCGCCGCGGGCCGATGGCGCCCCAGATTACAGAGGAGGTATAGAAATCTCGGGCGCCTATTGTATGTGTTCAGTAAATGAAAATGTGGGACGGTGTGGGAGGAAACATCAGTTCGGGGAATAGAATCACTTACCGGCGCAGGTGAACTTGTCCGGCTGGGTGGTGGAACACACGTCCTCGATGTTGGCCAGAGCCCAGACATTTACTCCAAGGGAGACAAATGCGCCGACGACAGTGGCTACCAGCTGGGCTGCGAACATCACTCGCGGGGCAATCTTCATATAGTGGCCCAGCTTCAGATCAGCCACGAACTGGACTGACTGGGCACAGGCGATATATCCGAATGCCTTGAAGAGGAGGTTGGCGACAGGTTTGCCGGTGATGGCGTATCCTCCAATGAACTCGGCAATAACGTTGTTCGTTACCTCAGAGTTGGTTATGGCGTAGACCATGCCGTATGGAATCTGCAGCACGAGGCAGAGGATGATGGCGAAGACGATACCCCAGATGGGCATGCCGGTGTCATACTTGGCGACGCCGATGCAGCCGAACACGAACGAGACAGCCAGCACAACCAGGTACCACCACTCCGGGACCTCCTTGTATTGCTTCATCAAGCGATTGTGGACGTCCTCGTGCTCCTCTCGCGCACTGCCCCATTTCCATATGGTGCGGAATCCCTTCATGATCTCTCGCCGGTTGTAGAGTGCGACGTGCACGATAGTTGCCAAGTACATGGCGAAGAAGAAAAAGAACATGACGGAGTACCCGGCCGTCAGGTAGGGTTGACTGTAACCCTCATAGCCTTCTAGGTCAAATTCGCCCTTACTGTTCAGCACGCGGGTGACATTGTAAGTGTTGCCCGTGTCGTCGAAAACATCGTTGCTGATAATGGGGAAGTAAGCGGTTTTCCACACGTTGCTGAAGTAGACGGGTGCAATGACGCAGAAGGCTCCCAGGATGGTGCCGATACCAATGTTGGCCAATGCGTAGAAGGGATAGATGATAGGGTCGTAGAGTGCGTAGATGATGTTCCAATCGAAGGTGGGTAAGGGGTTGAGGCCAAGCCCGGTGATAGTCCCACAAATGATTGCTAGCTTGACGTTATCCGGGGCGATCCAGTTGATCCAGTTGAAGTACGACAAGGCTTGAAAGATATACCCCGGGAACCAGTAGTAGAAGAACATGCCTATGAAGCAGTACATAAAAAAGCGGTATCGGCTGATCTTCCAGCCGTGGACCCGCTCGCGGCCTTCATCGCTGTGTAGGGCTTTGTTCAAAGCGATGGTTGAAAGGCACTTGGGGTAGATCATGGACGGTGGGTACACTAGGAATCGGCGTACCACGCCGGCACAGCCGTAGCCCAGTAGTTGTGTGGATAGCGTAACGAGGATTTGGAAACCGGCTTGATCGTACAGCGATGTCAGGTTATAGAAGGATTTGGCTTTCAGCACCTGAAAGATGTACGTCACGTAGGCTGTGCCATTGGTACCGCCGAAGGAGACATTAGACATAACAGTGATGAGCATGTGTTCCTTCTGGTTGAAGGGGCCGGGATTCAGACTGAACTTCCAGCCAAACAGGTTCCACTGGCGCGTAGGCAGGGTTTTGGCCATGAAGACCCCGCAGGGGTAGGACAGCAATTGAGCGACAATGGAATAAATGACAATAGTGGGATAGCGCAGGGTGAAGAACTGGTTGACCCCCGTGAAGACGATGGTAGCTATCATGCCCAGGAACCAGGCTCGGAAAGTATTGGCCGAGATTTCAGGGTCATCAGTTGGGTCGACCACAGCGCGGACCTCCGGATAGGGAGAGTCATTCTCAATGAGGTCACGATGCTTTTCAATATCTGAAATAACCTCCTGCAGCTGAGAGAGATCAATATGCTTGGTATCGGCATCGAGGATCTCGCGCGCCTGAGCGATGATCTGAACAGGGAAGTTGACGTCAAGTTCATTTTCAGCCACGATCTGCCGCAATTGATCTAGGAGAGATTGCAGATCGGCCTCATCGATCTTGGTACCCGTCGCATCCGCCTTCTCTTTATCAGAGTTGCTGCTCAAGAAGATGGGATCTTTGTAGTCAGCCATCTTCTGTGTACCCTGTGGACCCTGTGGTGGGCTGCTTTAATCATACATGAGGGAATACAAAAGGATGTGATAATGTCTAACATCGAGAAATGGGACTCTCCCAAGAGCGCTCTTATGTAAAATAATTCCCTGGTCCTCTTCTGGACACATGAAGGTGTCTAATACGATTTGCTTTAGCACACCATATTGGTGCAAGATAACACACAAGCACCTGACGCTTCGCTTGCATTCTGCTTGCATTAGGGCGGCGCCAATCAACTGAAAAAGCGAGGCATCCCGCCAATGGGAAGGATGGCTAAATATTTGTTCTACACCCTTTCGATACACGCACTCAATTTGCTTGTATGCTTATCAGTTTAGGCTAGTGGCGTTCTTCAGAGGGATATGTACGTCAAGCAAGGTATGCGAGGTACCGCATTGCTAGCTGTTAATTTCCACGGGAAGTAGGAGGCGGATATAAACGGACTCAAAGATTCTGATACCGGTTCTTATCAAACAAGATAGGAAGAGATAATAAGGGAATATAATCTGACTGGACGGTGTGGCAATTGATATTGCCGGGGAATTCAACCCCGCTCTGGTTGAGACAGCGGGATACTACCAACACTAACCCACGGCTCGGCAGAAATCCCCGCTCCCCATGTTCCTGCGGTGACAATCCCATTTAAACCGTGAGTAAATCCCCCCATGTATGCAAAACAAAGACATCTGTCGTGGGTAGAAGCATTTTACTCATCACTCTTTACACTCTACCTTCGGCCACTGGGTGATATATGGGCGAAAATAGAAAGAAGCTCAAATGGGGTATTTCAGTGTAAAAGTGGCCTTCTCATCTGCTGCTAAAACAGGTAGCGCGGCAGCGTTGTAGCTCGGACTAGTGGCATCCAAACATGGGGGGCGTAAGAGCTTTTCAGGCCACATGGCCCGCGAAACGTGATGGCGTTATGGGCCGCTTAGGGCTAGCTGGAAAAAACCGGGAATCCTGCGGGTGTCCGATGCTATCTATCCTAGGCGGGGCTAGCATTTATCGCGAGAGCGAAGCTTTGTGGGACCTTTGCCGAAGTATCCTATCATGATCGAGATCTTGAAAGATCATATAGAATTTGGCACTTTCTTTCTAATAATACGCAATATTCAAGCTAAATGAAGTGTGTTGGATAGGCAAGGTCACATGAATGAGCTAGTCGTAGGAATTCCGTTGAACCCAAAACGATGCAGTAACCCGAACCACGATTATAAGTACTGTTGTCATTGTAGTACTACAAATCAAGAATGTGGGAATCCACATTAGGATTTACTGAGTTCCAGTTTTGGGGACCATCTGCACCACTGATCAAGGAGTATTCTTGGACCAAGTATTCATCGAAATTAGGAGTGCTAAAGTCAGCGATACCAGGCATGAACGAACCAAGAAAATAACCCTCAACAGAGGGAAACTCTGATACATTATTTTCCATTGGTAGAGGGCTTATCTGTTGTGAGATGCAGGCGTCGCCCAAGGTGCCATTGGTGCATGTCTGATTATCGGGCTCTTGAGCCAATAGAAACGGTTGTGGGGGTGTTGAGAGATTGTGCTGGTCACCAAGGTTCAACTCTATGTTATCTTGGCTGCGTGAAGCTTTAGTTTTCTTCTTCTCCCGCCGGCTCCATAGTTGCCTTAGCATCCGACTGTAACTGTGGCAGATGTGTGATTCAGTCGACGCTCCCTTTTCGAGAGCAGATATGAATTTTTGGGCTAAGGTGGTAATCTCTTGGTGCTGTTCTTCGGATTGGAACGCCCCTGCTCGGTCTGCTTTGTGCAGTAAGACTGCTGCATAGACACCATATCTGCCACTAGGCGTAAGTAGTAGGTAAAACTGGATGGTAAAAAACCTTACAAGTAATAACGAGACGGTAGGTAGCATAGCACATGTCGCGGATCAAGACTATTCATCAGAGCCAACAGATTCATCGCTGCGCTAATAGCATCAAATATGTACCGACCATCGGGGGATGCCATGATGCCTTTGGATAATATGTCGGCAAACGAGCGCTCATTCTGCTGTCCCTTGTTGGATGATCCATGTGGACGAGAAGCCCTCGTCAGGACTGCCTGGAAGGAAAAGGCATTCGTGTAAAGGCGAATATACTCGTACATGATAAGAAGAGTTGTCTTTATCTTAGCGGACACAGCTAGATTGTCCCATGCCGAGCGCCACGTGGTTGCGGAAGTTCGAAAGTCATCAAGATACCGGGCGTAATCACCTTCATAGACCATTGCCAATGTTCGGTCTTTGGACGAGTAAAGAATTGCATGAGCATTATGCAAGATTTGTATCAGCTCCATAGAGGCTTGTAGCCACGATGCATAGTCCTCATTATCGTTCTCCGGACGAGGTTGAAGACTCGGGAAATCGTCGGCGGTGAATTTTGCGGCAAGAGACGGGCCTCGGGACCAGAATGACTGCCCAAGTCGGACTGATATCTGACGATCGGCAATGAAAATATCTGGAACTGATGTCAGGACATACATTGAAAGCCCATTTCAAAAGATATAAAGACTTACATGCCCAGACAATCCTGTCTTGCTCTGTTCGTTGCTTTGACCCACTGTTACTAAAATTACGAAAGGCGGCCTGGTCGAGGCGCTGGAGATAGCCTTGCCGAACTGCGAGCCCAACAAGCGACCAAGCTGTTCTATCTTCGCTAAATAGATTTTTGGAGGATTCGGATGAGGTTTCTTGAACTTGAATATGGGGGAGCCACTCCGCCAAAAGCAACAGTCCCTGGACAGTTGCTGGGGTTTGGGTCCAGGGGTATGCCAGGAGTACATCAACCAAGAGGCGTTGGGTGTGATCCCAGCAATAACGATGGGTGAGTGAATGGTGGGGATTGTCTCTCGACGCAATGGTGAGGATAGCTGTGAGAAGAAAGTATTCAGACCGTTGAATCTGGCTCATTCTTGATAAAACCAGCAAATGAGAAGGGACGATCGGGCAATACGGATGATAATAATTGTGATACCTGGTCTCCGTCAGTAGACACAGATGCGGTTCCATGAAGTGTGGCTAACTCATGTAGTAGCTCAAATACTAGGCTCGGGCGCAACACGCCTCTCTTTACCAACTCGTAGTCATCAAAGATAGTCGCCGAAGGCCTCTGGTGGCCTTGAGAGTCTTGAGAGTGGTTGGTGTCTGACGCACTTGCTCTTTGAGCTGCAGCGTCCAATTGTTCCTCTAAGTTTGCCGTGCTGGTGAACTGAGCTTGAAGCCGACTTTCGGACCGGACCTGACCAGACATGGCTAGTATCTGCAGCGCATCAGATGGATTCCGGAGTTCCATAGTTAGGACATCTCCAGGATTCTGTCTGCCAACGCTGCCTTCACCATCTGAAGAACTTCCGGTCACATCAGACCCGCTATTAGCCGGTTCCATGTCAGGCCCGTTCGAGTCTCCGGAATTTGTTGGCAGCGGAGTCTTCTGCCGTCGCGAAGGGCCCGACTTGTGCTGATGCTGGCGATAATTTCCCCCTCGCCTGGACTTGATGAGGACACATTGGCTCTTAGTATCATGGCAAAAGACACAGGGAGCTTTGCCTGGTTCTCCGATGGTATCACTATAGCCGTATTAGCCCGCTACCTGGGCAGATGAAGGCGTCATCGTCGATGTAAAGAGCATCCTTACAGGTCGCATCTGGTCTTGCGCTTACGGCATCGCAGGCAGGCACGAGACGACCTCTTACCTGTACTGGCAGTCATGATTGCCGAAATCCTTTATGCATCGGTAATAGGTAGTGATTCCGAAAAATCTTTAGAATCGAGATCTTTTCAAAGGTATGCGGGGGATGATGTGGAGAATCTCGGCTATAGCCGATAACCATTGCCGAAGCCGTGATTGTGGCGACAACAACAAAGCAGACTGCTTATCACTACGTAAGGGTGATTGCGTACTGAGAATTAACATGAACAGTTGCTTGGGGCTGATTGCTGCTGGCTAGACATAATCTCGTCGCGACAATGACGAGATTGGCCTGAACTAGGTACAAAGTACGTTGACGCTTCAAGGGAGCCCCATCCGCTGATCGCTCTTGGGATTCAGGCCCCATGCTAAACTGCTGTCATCATGCACAGTAGCACGCCTCATGTCTCTCCTGTATTTGGTCATGAACTCGCCACTGATAGCGCGGTGCATCGTACATGTATTATCCCAGATAATCATATCACCAACATTCATCCATTCCACTTCAATGACGTACTTGTCTTGAGTGGAGTGCTCGAAAAGCCTATCAAGGATCTTCTGAGATTCTTCCGGGGAGACACCTTCGAGTGAGTGGATATGTTTGGCGAGGTAAATAGTGGGAATGCCGGTGCGCTCGTGCTCTTGCAGTAGTAAGTGGCGGGACATAAAATGATCTGTAGGGTTAACATCTTTGAAATGCTCCGGAGCAGCCATCTTCTTGGAATGTAGAATGGAATGACGGGCAATGAAGTTTCTTTCGCGCAGAAAGTGCTTGAATACGTCGTCAAGATCACGGTAGGCGCCCCTCATGTCGGCAAAGGCAGTAGAGCCCCCAGTCCCGGGTGGCGGAAGCTCATGGGCAAGTAGAAGAGAGTAACCGGCTCGGCGAGGGTTGAAGCTAGAGTCGGTGTGAAACAGAGAGTTACCCTGGAGACAGTCAGTTCTATTCGTCTTTCTCTATCTCGGCATGGTACTGAATGGGAGAGTAACTACATACCTTATTCGCCTCACCTCTCGGGCTGTTTATATCCACAATGGAGCCGTCAAGTTCGATGTTACCCACGTCAAAGAGCTCGTTGTATTTGAGACGGTGCACACGGCCCGCTTTATTGTAGGGCGTTACATCGTCAAGTTCACCAAACTTGCGAGCCAGCTCGAGGTGGGTCTCGTCGACGAGGTTTGTCTCACGGACAACGGCAAAGCCATACTGTAGTACTCTCAGTGAATGGTTCCGCACGAATTTGTTACCAGTTACTACCGACCTTCTTTACCGCATCCTCAAT